TCTTCAGCTGCAGCTACCTCTGCCGTTGTCCCAGCTGGCGTTTCTGCTTGCCGAAGAGGAGATGTGAGATGGCTCTGCGGATGGATGTGAAGTGGATCCTGTCACGCATGTTTCATAGCTTTAGGAGCTCTGATCTTGAAGGGTTCAAAGATCCTGCAATGATGGTCCAGGGAGGTGTTTGCCTTTTCCTAAGATAGAAACAAATCCATAAGGGTGTGACACCTTCCTGATGCTAAGGCAGGTGAAGGCAGTGGAGCAGTGTTGGTGCAAATCATTCCTCAGAAGGAGTCTAAACCTGTACATTAGTCACATATCAATAGAGAGAAAACACGTATTTCTTTTGTGTATGATGCAGATCTGCACGTTAAATTGAAGTGAGCTGAGCACTGGTCTTCGTTTCACCTTTTACTTCTGAATGTCTGACTGAGCACACTCACATCTCGATAGAGAAATTCTGTGAAACCCGTGCTGTGAATTGGTGTCCTGGCTTTGCTGCAAGTGAGTTTCTTGCTCAAATGTTGCTGAAGTATAGCATAGAAACATAACCTGCTCTTTCTTTTCTTCAGGATAGACTGTTTGTCAGTGAAGAAACCGTTGACGAATTTCTAGACTCTGCTTTGTGCCCTCCCTTTTGCTCCCAGTCAGCACTGGAAAATCAGCCGTTAATTGAAGTGCTCAATGTTACTGAGGACCTAATTCAGATCAGGTTGGAGGTAAGGCTCTCTCTAGCACCAGGATGTGTTGCTGGCTCATTTCTGTACCTCAGCAAGATCGCCTCAAATCTGACCAAAACACCTCTGTTCCTACTTTGTCCTGATGCAGCAGGGAAGGCCGAGGCTTAGGATGTATTTGCGAGCATAAATGTCAGGTTTTAGAAACATAGGTTCACGTTTGTGCCATTTATTGTGACCAAGGGATTAAAACCTCTCCTGTATTTCATTGGGAAGACGGAGAAGTGCGATACAGTCATTAAAGACAGTGCTTTCTCCTTGCGGGAATGCGGGATGGCACACACACTAAATCTCTCTCTCTGCTATTAAAATTAAGAAAATGCCTACGTATCCTGCGTTCAGAGGGACCCCTGGGCTTTCTTGGTGGACACTGTATCAGAAATGCATTTAAACCTTTTCTTAAAGAAAAGATAATGTGCAGGGACAATCAGGTTACTTCTGTGCCATAAACTGGAGCCTGCAGATAAGTTAATGAGTAGACAGCTTCTAGGAAAGTGAGTTCAGCTGAAACACGCGACCTCTGGAACTGCGCTGGAGTTTACCTCAAGATAGGAGCTCCAACGTGACTCGAGAGGCTTCACTTCTGTAGCTAGTGTGGATTGGACATGAAAATGTCAAATTCAGGTTGTTGGAGAGCAAACCTGGATGTTTTGGTACCTGAAAGGGAAGCTGAGATACCTTTAATTGCTCACGTGTCCTTGTAGGATCACTAACTGGTGTTTCTTCCGTTTCTTGCTGGAGTGAGCAGTGGCTTTGGGGTCAAGAGAGAGCTGAGCACATGAGGGAGCGATTCAGTCTTTGAATCCATGACTCCAGTGGCTCCTGGACAGATGCTCACCCGATCCTGGCTGCCCACTGCTGGGAACATGGGAGTTCCTGGCTGTTTTTTGCTAAGGCAGCCGATAGCTGATGGTGAAATTGGGAAACTGCTGTTTAGACAGCAGCGAGTCTCGCAGTTTGTGCTCCCCTGAGGCAAACCGCAGCAATTCCTGGATGAACTCACTCAGGCCGACTGAGAAAGACAGCTCATTTACAGTCCCAACTTCCACGTACGACAGGATGGTGATTTCCCTAATTGCAAGGTTAAAACACACTTTGGGCAACGAGAGCGTAGATCCCATGGCTGATTTTGTTCCGAGAACAAGGGCCTGGGTGTGGCAAGTCCCTGTTTTTCCACGCTGTTCATTGCGAGAGGCTGTGGGCAGTTGGCAGCGGCTCAGCAGTGTTTCCTATTGTGGAGGAAACCCTCAGGAGGCAACAACCTCCCCACACGTGGTACAGAATCGGGAAACTTCAGCACTGCCCTGACCTGGCTTTCTGAAGCAGGTGTTGGAGAAATGAGTGTCTTGGCCTCTCTTTACAGCAGTTTTGTGTGCCCAGTCCTGTTCAGCTATAAACCAATTAATTTCTTTTCTTGACAGCCACAGGAAGGAGGCCGTTCTGAACACGATGGAAAAGAGCAAACGCTTTGCAGCTCAGGAGGAGATCGCGCTGAGAAGACAAACGGAGAAGACTGCCCCCAGACAAAGGCAGAAACAAACTGTGCCACCCTTGCCACAGCGGAGGGACAGTGTGCTACAGGAACCAACCCATCCTCCACATCTTCTGCAGCAGCTGAAACAATAGGAAACGCAGGTGGTTGTGGTTCACACCGCTGTTTGCAGCCTGAACCTCCTGACAGCGGTGCAACGACTCCAGGCAAAGCCAGGAGAAAGGAACCACATTTAGATAGCGCTGGTGAAATGGCCGTGGCCACAGGCTCTGAACCCCCAGCGGGCCTTGACCCGGGGGGGCAGGCGAGCGCAGGAGTGGACGCAGTGGCTGCACCCACACAGGGGAACCAGCACAGCGGGTACAGCAGCAGTGCCCCCCCACTGCTGCGAGAAGTGGACGCGCAGGACGGCAGCGTGCGGATCCTCGGGGATCACGTAACGCGCTGCCCGGTCGCCTTTCAGAGTCCTTTGCTGTATGAATTGGATTAATTTTAATGATTTTAGGATTTCCTGCTGTTGTTCAGTGCTTCCACATGTTGGTTTATGACTTCAGGGCTAAGAGTAGAAAACGGGTTCCTACCAAAACTGTTTTGTTTACACGTCACCATAGAATACGTGCATTGTTAATGATTTTTGAAGTTAATAGGCCTGAGTTTTCAATGGGCTAAAATAGTTTTACTTACAAGAAAGATGCAGTTCAAGGTGAATCTGCAAATGCATCTTTTTTTTTGTTTACATAACTTGCTCAGTCTCTTGCTATGTTACAAGGAGTTTTTGTGTACATCCTCCTTCTGATGGCTCCCTCGGGAACTGCTGTGTTTAGTCCACCTAGAAATAAGCAGTATTCCTCTTTTTTCAAGCCTTTCATTTTGTGATAAGACTTGCACTGATTTTTAGCAATCAAATGAAATTTCTAATTACATGGAGAAGTTCTAATTAGTCTCCCAGAAATCAGCACCATTTGTACCCTCTATTCCATCCTAGTACATTGCTTTAGAGCACAGCAGCAAAATATACCCCGGTCTGTCAACCAAAATGATTCAATTGCACAATAAAAACATCCCGCTGCCGATTATTTACAGTTTGTAAAGTGGATTCGCTTTATTCAGATTGGATTTACTTCTCAAACCCAGTTCCCCACGAGCTGCAGCACGCTGTTTGCTGGTTCATCTCTGAAGTGCGATAACCAAGAGAACATTTCTCACAACAATAAACTTGCAGTTCCCTTTCTCGCTGCTTCTGAAACAACTTCTGTTTGCTTTTGAGCTGTACATGACATGGCTGGGCTTCAGAAGAAAGTTAAATTTGGCTGCTTTCACAGCTGCTTTGGAATTTCTCTTACATTTCTACATGAAATGTGAGTGCTTGCAGCATAAGCTTTACTTTTGTACGCTCAGCAGAAGCCACGGCTGCCCAAAGTATCAGACCAACCCTTGGCTGTCGCAGTTGAAGGCAGGCGAGGGCTTTGCTGGGCCCAGTTTCTCCCCAGCAGCTCTGTCACAGGCAGCAAAGGGCTCAGGCACAGGCGCAGGTTTTTCAGCATTGGCCCTGACCTTGCAAGCAAGAACTAAAGCTGGTACAAAATCATAGCAGTGAAGTTACTCCTGGGGGAAAAAAAAGCATCTTACCATGGTAAAAATAGACCTCTGCGTACTACTTGGGGTACATCATGCACCTTGGTCGTCTTTCAAATGACCATTTAACCAATGTGGTCACAACCCATAAAGCAGGTGACAAACAGTGGTAAAAGGAAAGCCTTGCTACATGCCCTTGTGTTCAAAGGAGCTGTTGTAGCCGGAGTCCTAAGAGCACCAACCCAGTTTTCTCTAATTAAAAAAACCACTTTTTTTTTTCTCCCCTCCAAGTATCTTGGTGTAAAATCTCCCTCTAAATATAGCACGTCTGTCACCTTAGCGTAGCGTTTTCTTTTGCCAACATCCCCCTCTCTTCTACAAAAGCCGTGCCACTGCTCCCTGTTGTGCTCCAAAAGTGGCCGCTGCAGCAGCCACACCATGAGAAGGTGTTGGAGGGTAAGGAACGGCTCGGCTCTGCTCGCTCTCAGCTCCAGTTCAGGCCATTTCCATCACACAGCAGGATTTTTAACTGGTCACTTTACACAGCTGAATAATTTGAAAGCAAACTTCTTTTGATCCAGACAAAAGAGGTGCCGTGCCACGCATATGTTACTCTATTCTGCCTCAATTAGTGAGGATCATTAAAGACATAATCAAGTTAAACGCACACAAGTAGAAGGGGCAATGATGTGTGCTCAGCCCCCTGGACACCTCCATCCCAACTTTCTGTCCAGCAATGCAAGATGACATCATCTTTTTGTGAGAATCAGGAACTTCTCTGGTATTACAAAACAAGTGAATTTTATTTTGGCAGAACTAAAAAAATCGTATATTTCTCTACATTGTAGTAAAAACAATGACTTTTTTTCTTCCTTCATATATTCATCAACACATCGCAACCAAACCAGGACGCAGGTATCAGGCGGGATGCACCGGTACCGGCAGTGGTGTCACCGGCCACACCGCTCTGCCCTGATGGGGGAAAACCCCCACACCAGAGCACAATAAGCACCAGAAAAGATGCACTTAAATCCAAGTTTTCTCCTCTTCCTCCTCCCAGTAAACACACTTTGTCACAATAAGCGACAAAAAGCCGTCACTTTTCGTGTAGGAGCTGTGACACTGCTCTGAGCGACCCGGCAACAGCTAGTAAGTAACCTGTTTCCAGAAGGTGGTTGCTGAATATGAAAGATTACTATTTGGGGACACCTTTTACAAGAATGTTTATTCATATTAAAGCAGAAACCAACTCATAAATGCTTTTTATACACGTGTGCGCCCCGTAAAGGCAGTATGGAACAACTCAAAAAGGCTGCGAGAATGATCCTCACTGAAGTCTGCGGTAACTTTTACAGAGTTCGTGGTCCCTAATATCTCCCCACCCTCCATTTTTCACATGAGGGGAAAGGGGTGCCATGGAGTACCTTTTACTGACACTCATAGTCTCGGGAAACAGGTACTGTTGGTTGCTGTTCAAGAGAGAGTCGATTTTGGCACTCTGGGTGGACGGTCTGCAGGATTTCTTGTGGTGCATGCCACAGTCCCCAGTATGAAAAATCCTGGGGATTTCGGGAACCAGCACTTTCCAGAACTTTGGAAGACAAGAGACAGTCAGGTGCTGCAGAGTCCAGTCCCAGTTGTAGTCATCATAGGTGCAGAAGGCGTCCGTGCACTCAATGAGCTTCTGGTAGGTGTCTCTGCCGAAGGCCATGCCCATGTTGTGCTCAGTGGACTTCCACGTCTTCATCTCCACCTTGTCGGCACGGCCGGCGAAGCCACCACGGACGGGGCTGTAGGTGCCCAGGGAGACGATTTGGCACTCGGGGCACTCCTGCTCACGCAGGGCCCAGAGCTTCTTGAGGACGTGGTAGAAGTCGGGTGCCAGGTAATGGTCCTCCTCCAGGAAAAGGACGGGCCCAGCGTGTTCCTGCAGTGCCCGCACCCGCTCCCAGACGAAATGCAGCTTCCACCACCAGTGGTGCTTGGTCTGGGAGAAGCGAGCTTCGCGGTAGTGCCCGAAGGAGTCGGGGTACTCGGCGTTGATGCAGCCCAGGCGCAGGGCCGCCGCCTTGCCCACGTCGCGGGGACAGTCGCGGGGGTCGTGACCGGGGAACTCGCGAGGGTAGAGCTGGATGCTGAAGGGGAAGAAGACCTGGAGGACGGGGCAGAAGTCCA